GACTACGTCACTGAGCAAGCTCTCACTTAAACCACAGCATGTAAAGCTTACATCCTTTTTGCCAGCATTCGCTGCTTCGCAACACGACAGGAGCACACGACACGCGGCAGCCCTGTTCGCATGGAAGCTTGCCAAGTGCTTTCGCATCTCACCTAGATTTCGCCTCCGACACACCGGGTCACACTAGGACGGTCCAAAATATGATGCAAGGAAGGCTGGCTGTAGGGCACACTGCCACAGCAGCCATTATGCAGAACAAACCCTAGCAACAAGCAGAAAACTGATTCAGAATCTTCCTGCCTTGGCAAAGAGATCAATATTCAGGGCGTCACAATGGAAGCCTCAGCCAGCAACGGCATCGTAAAGCTTCAACTCTCCCAACCCAGCTCCCCGCCTGCCAGCGTGATGAACTGCCAGCAGAAGCCAAGCTTCGCCAGGTCCCAGATGAAGGACTCCTATAGCGCAATGCCTACGGCAAGGAAGCCTCCTTTAGGTGCCTGGCCTCTTTTTGCGCAGTAAGGAATGACGGGGTTCTTATCATGTTTCACGGGACTGTGGCCTTTTTTCTTAAACCCATGCTAGGCCGGTGGCGTTTGATGGGACATGCTTCCAATGCCATCCTCCACATAGACAGGAAGCTTGCGGCCATCCTAGTGCAAAGAGCCTGTGCGCAAAGACCACGATCCCATACAGCAAAAGACCAATTCAAGTCACACTGACTCACACAGACCTGGAAGGGTAACTTAGAACCGCTACTAAGTCAACCTTGAAATCAAGATCCGGTGTTTTGGGCTTGTGGGGTGTGAGTTCCCTCGATTTCATATCCTACGAGGTTCTATGAAGATGTGCTGCGCGCAGTCGTCTAAATCCTATGTGATGCTGACGCCTCCTAAGCCTGCACATGCTGAAAAGACTGCTCTTTCTGCTACACGACGATGCCTTCCATCCGAACTGTAAGACAGTGCCTTTGGGGAGGAGCCTCAGCCTTCAAAACCAGGCAAGGCTCCATCTGCGCATCCGTCATGCCAGCCGTGTCCTCCGGGAACCCCAGTAATTAACAGGGGATGCTCAAATGGGCAAGGAATCAAGCGTCTTGTGCATGTCAGATTGTCTTGCCGCTGTTCTCTGTGCATGTATTTTGGTCGCAAGGTAAAAAAATTTGCGGATCTGAAGTGCTGATTGGTGCAAGAACCCTTGCAAGCTGTGCACCCATTCTCTGGCAGTCCCAGTTGAAGGATGGGCTGAGGTTGTAGGCCAGCATCTGGTGGGGAACCGCGGCACGGACCTCCTTGGCGAACTGCGTGGCCTGTGACGATCGGGCGGGCTATATTCGGCTTGTACGGGTTCCGAGAATGACTAAAAGGGTGCCAGCATTCCTCTTCTTCTCAAATGCTGTCGGCACTATGTTGTGTCTCATTGCTTGTGTCCAACCGCAGAGCCTCAAGGATTGTCCAGCTAACAAGGCCCCCGACCCTGGGGGTCTGAATGCACGAAGTGCTTCTAGCACTGCTTGGTTTCGCGCGGTTAAATAAATCTATGGCGCACGCGGCTTTCTCGCTTTCAGCTCTTGCAGCCCAAGGCACAACAAAAACTGCAAGGACTTCATGCCTGATCAATGTTCTGCAGTGCCTTTGGCCATGCTGAGGCTGCAGCAGCAAGCGCCCCAACTAACGCAGCATAAAAACAACAGCCCATTCCTGCCTGAGCAAGGATGGGCTTGCCAGTCTCCATCCAGATGCAGTCCTTCCGCAAGTTTCCAGTGCCGGCGGCCAGGCAGATTTCAAGAAAAAGAGGCTGCACTAAGGGCTTCCTGGGCTTGAGCGGATTATTCGCCTCGGCCTCTGGCCGACAGGCGTGTGGAACAGCCGCAGGATCTGGTCACTTCCCCTTGCCCTAACCGCCCCCCTTAACACTAGGTGGCCTTTGTTGAGCCAGCACCATGCCAAGTCAAACCCAGCGAGCCCATGTGCGAAAACAGATGCGCGCTAGCGCTAGAATTACATACCAACTGCCAGAATCTTTAGGGCTCTCTCAGAAGAGCATATCGCTCCGCGTAGGGGGCGAAGGCAATGGCACGCTCGATGCAGAACTCGGTGGAGCCCTGGATGCGGTAGTAACCTGGAAGCAGCAGAGCACCCATACCCCACTCACGTGCAATGATTGCCGAAGGTTTTGCTCTTTCATGATGCTATTTTGCTCCTTGCTAGGGCTGGACATTTAAGATCTCTGGCAAGCCTGCAAGAGATCCTTGCAAAAGTAGTGCACAACTCACACCTGAAGTGCGAGTAGTGAGACTGCTCTCGTCTTCTGAGGCAAGGGGCCCTCCACAGAACGCGCCGAGTCCCAGTCGAAGAAGATGTCGCAGCCCATCTCAGCAGCCTTTAGGCGATGGCAACCCGGAATCCTTAAGCAGCTTGCAACCAAGTTCCGAGCCTTCTTCTTCATCTGGTCAAGGGACATCTTGCGGGACTCCTTCTCCCACTGGCTGCTGTCCTTGCCCTTGGCCTAGGTCATCTTGTCTTCAGCATCCATCTTCCTTCAATACCTAAAGGCTCTCGGAGTCAGACATTGTGGTAGACCCCCAACTTGGGTTTAACCTTCACTTAAGATGTACTTCCCTGAAGCTCTGAGATCAGCATCCCTGTAAATCCACAGACAGCCTTCAGTGCTTTGGAGACCGCTGCCGGGAAGGTCATGCAGCCGGCACGCTGCTCCCAGTCCTGCGTTAAGTTCAGGCATCCATTGTCGGCCCTCGGGGTCAAAGTCAGGCTTCCCAATCGCTTGGATGAATTATACGGTCCCAATGTTTGTCTGAGCCGACAGTACCCAAGCTCTTTTTGCCCAGTTCCAGGAGGCACACGGCTTGAGGTCAGTGGCCCATGATCTGAGCTTTGTCGCCATTCGGTCCGCATGCAGAGGGGAATTGACAGCCACGCCTTGACAATTACAACACTCAAGCTGGCGCAGAAACCTTGAACCCCCCACACAGCAGGAAATACTCTGAGCAGTCCTTGTCCGTGCCCTTTCGCATCGCCTTGCACTGCTTCAGTTGCAGGCGCTTTCTCATACAAAGGATGAATCCCTCCAAGGAGTCCTGACTGGGATCCTTGATATTGTGTCCTATCCAGGATCAGCTTCCTCCCAATTCCACAACTATGCCTTCAACCCACTTATTGCGAAAGAATAAGTGAAGAAGGGAATATTTTCTAGGGAGTATATGCCCTTATTCCCTACCCAGAACCAGTTAGCTTCAAAGGTACAGGTCAAGTTCTGGCCTCGTATAGCGGCTCAACGCCCTTCACGGTCGTACCCTGAGGGTCAGGGGTTATATAGGGGTTATGTAGGGATTATACAGGGGTTAAAAAGGTGTTATTTTTATTGGTGATATATCTAGGGGTTATTTCAAGGGAATATCTAGGGGGTATACTGGGGGATTATATACACATATATATAGCATATGGAGAGGGGTTATATAGAGGGTCTGATATCTGCAGTTGAGAGGTTTGAGGTTCTGGCGGCTCGCTATCCCTATAATCCATCATGATTATGACCTGTGGGATTTGGGACAGGGGAAGGGTTGAGTCCTCAACCCCAGTCCGCAGTCTATGGGCCAAGACAAACATGGAAGAATGTAAAAGGATATGAAAGGTCCTTCACTCCATCATGGAACTGCGTGCTGCTGCTGAGAATAGATGCGCATGTGCCTTGATGAAGGGGTGGTCGATGGGGTCGATGTTGCTGTCAATCATGGTTGCCGCCTGCAAAGCTTCAGTGACGCAGACCTAGTCCTACAGACTAGCTTGCTCTCAAGCGACTGAACTTTTCAAGCATCACCTGCATGTGGGGACCCCCAAGAATGGAAAATCAATTCAGGCACGCCGTGGGACTGCCAAGAATGGGTAGGCCTTAGGGGCATAGGGCCTCATTTGGGCTTAGGCTCAGGCTCTGCCGTGTTTGCAACAGTACACCCATGCTTGCGTAGGCCCTGGCATGTAACTATGGACATCTAACTTCTCTACAAATAAAGAAACCTATCAGAATATTGAAATTCTTAGGATTAAATGCATCCTCGCCCCCTAAGACTGGCGAAGAATTTGAAGAATCTTGCGCAACAAGTACGGAACTGACCAAAATGGTCGAACCCCCCTTTCGACGATGTGAAAAAAAGCTTCCCATCCCAATGTGCGTGTAACTTAAACATGCTCAACTAGTGGAGTTGGAGCCCCTGAGTTAGGCTTCACACCAGTCTGCAGGCCTCAGCATCCGTGCGTGCTACGATAACCAGAGGGGAGTTCAGCACATCCGCCTGGAGCACAACGTGCATCGTGGGACAAGTCCCATTGTTCGATGTAATTGCAGGGATGCCATTATTGACAATCGATTTTGTAGCGTTCTTTGGTGCACATGTGTACCCTTTCTTTACCATAGATCGCGGAACCTGCAGGTGGCGTTGATTCGTCCTCCTACAGAGAAGCATTGTCAGGTTGTTGAGAACGTGAGCCATGGACAGCCTCAAAAATGTGGCTATGTCGAGCTGATATCAAGCCCCTTTGCCTGAATACCTTTTTTAAAAGCCTTCCCACGCTTCCGAATCTGCGCTAACGCTCTGCCATACCAAAAGGGCTCAAACACAAGCAGGCTGCGGTTACTGCGGTTTGGCACATTGCTTCAGCACCGCATGCTTCCAAGTCTGCCTGAAGACGGATGGCAATGAGACGCTGGATGTGCTCCTGCAACAGGACCCTGAATGCACGACTGCAGGTTCCGAGGACAAAGGTAGGAACACGTTGTCCAAACATGGCAGCTGCGGAAGAGGAAGCGAAGTCATGAGTTGATACTCTTGGCCATACCTTATCTTCCTGATAGCTTCTCCAGGGAGGAGGCTGCACGAAAAGAATAAAATTATGCTCTCTGGGAGGCAGGCGCTACGCGAGACTTCAGAAGTGATCACAAGAGTGTTTGGTCTCGCGATTTCCTCCACAAAGGCCTAGTACGTGCTGGAACCACAATGTGGACATACGGGCAGTCACCCGCTGTGAGCTTCCATGAAATTGTTCAATCAATTTGGCCCTGGCTCCTGGGTGGACACCAGCACCTTGCCACCCATGTGACCGCACTTCTTTGTGCCGGGCTTCTGATCCTCTGGCAAGCTGGGAGCAGTTGAGTAGAACAAGAACCGCTCAACCTCAGGCCCATGTGAATCAACGCTGCTGGTTAGCAGTTCTTGCAGTTCAACAGCTCCTCAATGTGGATACCAGCTGCGCCGTTCTCGATGAACATCTTCGAAAGCCTAGACATCCGAGCACAACGCACAAAACGCAAACTGGACTTAAGAAGAACTAGAAGTCCACCACAGGTCAGTAACTGACAGGTTCTCACATGTTCTCACGGGTCTTCCAAGTTCTGGGGGTCTTGGGTACTGTGGAAACTGCCGTACCTGTCTGTAAACTACCAATGTTCTCTCTATCTACGACAGCATCGCAAGTTTGTCGCAGCGTGCAAGCTCATGTCCTGTGCGCAACAGCTCATCATATTTGCAAACCAACTACAGATGTGAATGTGTCGGCGTAATGAAACGGCAAGGCGGCAGGCTGTCCTATCCATGCTTCTCCTTGCAACAAGCTGGGCCGACAATTATGATGACATCAACACTGAGGTTCATTCATCTTGTCAACAAAAATTGCAAGTGCCCTCTCGGCAACCAAACCCCTCAAGGTTTTTGAGCCCAGTCGCTTCATGGTCGCCGTGAGGCCGCCATGGCCGGTGTCTGCATCCGCAATGATGGGATTGAGGTAATCCACGAAGGGAGCCTCGCAAGGCAGACTGTCTCATAATCTGCGCCAGGTCTATGATCTCATGCGCACGTATTAACTGCAGGCTGATGGCATTTACAAGATGCATATCCGGAAGCCTCGATGCCTAAATCTACTTTTGTTCTTGGGAGATGTCAAGGTCCAAGTGCTGATGCTCAGGTTGGAGAGGTTTTGGAGGAAGGCCTTGGCACGCTCCTCGGCTGACATGCGGTAGCGCTCCTAGCAGCAAGATCCAAAGATCACAACTCTACTGTAATCATAGGCGCGAATCCCCCCTGCTTTGCTTGCAAGAACATTGCCGGGAGAATGATAGCCTTCGAGTGATAGGCTCGAAGCCCAGCTATGACGAAAGCATACGCATCTGATAGGTTTTTATGATATAAAAGAAAATGGAATCAGGGACCCCTCTTTATGCTGCACAGCGCGGCGCCAAACAGCTTATAAAGTCTTACAGTACACACAGATCCTCAAACTGCTTGCGGTCGTGGAAGAGCTGAGCCCGGAAGAGCTGGTCCACCTAAGACTTAAGACATGCAAAACATGCAGATGACGCGATGGCCTATGATGACCTTATCTGGGCCGTACCCTGTGCGCCTGTGGGTGGGATGCTCGGGTCTGCAGAAGCACCCTGTGGCTGAGCCTGCCTTGTTCGGCACCGTGTCGTACGGGTAGTCCGCCACGTCCTTTGGCCAAGGGTTCACCGAAAGCTCAAGTTCACAACCTCGAGCCTGGAAGCTTTAAACCGTTCCTTTGTGCTTGCAGTGCAATTCTAGGAGTGAGCTTGCCGCCATGTTAACAAAAAATCCCCTTGCGCCGTCACAAAACTGCAAAACACTCAAGGCTGGCTTTCATGAGATCCTCCAGCATAAAGCCTCAAGCATCAAAGTTGATATCCACAACCCCAGCTGCTCTCTATGCTGTCCAGCGGCAGGGCCCGGCTCATTGCTAGTTGCGGCCGTGGAGGAGCACTGCCATCCGCTGACATACACCGAGGTCAGGTATCTGAGATCACCATGCGCATCACGAATCTATTGTAAGGTATCTGTCTCTCCTGAGACCTAAGACTCCTATGGGAGCCAGGTTTGTTTTTCCCTATTTTTTTGGTTTTTGGCGTTTTGGAGGTGCCCGCCTCATCCCTGTGACTGTTGACACTTTTGACATGCCCAAGAGACATGAGAAGCCAAAAACGATCACAGCTTCGAGGATGGCGACCC